TTTATGTTCATATTTATAACCTAATTTACGGATCTCTATTTATGTCCGTAAATACAACCCATTAAGTAGCATTTGCAACCTAATGAACATCATGAACATAATCTAATAAAAAGTTTTTGTAAACAAACTTAATTTTTTTATTATGCCTAAAAAAACACTAAAAAGGCATTTAGACATTCATCTACATTTTACAGAAAGAGGTCGAGGCTTTTGCAAAATAATAATAGTAGTGGTGATGTCTTGCCTCCACCCGTAAATGCTTTTTATCCGGAAGAGATGCTGCATTACACTGGTGCATCTTAATTTCATTTTTTAGCTTAGGATACTAGCAGACCTCATCCTCCTCCGACATGTGAGGTTAGGCTTAAAAAGTGGCTGCCCATTTTTTTAACGAGAAAACAAAAACTAAAATATAGTTGCACAAATCCACAAATCACTGATACGCAAAACGCAAAGTGAGGTTACGTGGCGTACGTTGGAATTATATACGTCATAATACGATTGCCGGTCGTCCGGTTTGATGACTTCGGTCGTGTGAGACGACTAATGTTGGAGACCCGGTCGGAATTGGTATATTGGTAGTTCATATTAAGTCGGACACAGAAATCCGCCATTCTTAACACGTATCCGATTGTCAGCCATTTTAAAATCATTTTTTGTTTTTAAAATTTATATTCACATTTCGATTTCTAGTAGAATAATATTGATAAGGTTGAGTTTGGGGGGAAGCACAGTACAGTTTTATGATTAAACCAGCTAGAAAATTAAAAAAAATATTTTGGAGTTACTTTTTTATAGATATTTTTATTTCATAAATCTACCTAATTTTGAAGGGGCTCGTTGTTTTCCGGAGTATTTTAATCATATATATCAAGAAAGTGACTTCCGTTGACAAAATTGATGTCTGGATTAATGATTCAGAATTATTATAATATGAAATTAAATAGGCACTTATAGTTATATTCGAGGAATGATTATGAATCCATTTGTAATTAGGTAGTTTGGTTAGGTTTTTGTTGTTTTTTTGTTTGTTTGTATTCTTGGTAGCGAATATGAAACCAAACATAACGTAAGTGCTTAGCGACGAATTTTAAGTGACTAAAATCCAACGTAATATGACGTTGGTAGTTGGTAGAATTACATTCCCTATTAGATCAGATACCGACGTCGAGGCGACCCGAATCTGTATTCCCCATTTAGGTGCAAATAAGGGTCGTCAGGCGGTCGAACCGACGTTGGTACCCGACGTCGGGTTTATTGAACGCGACGTATACCCGACGTTAGATAACATCCAAATGCTACTTGGGATATTTAGAAAAATATTTTTTTTATGAATAATTTGGTACCACATACATCGTATTTCGAGTCAAATTGTCGTTATGAATCAAATGAGTTTCAAATAAACCATATGCGAAAAAAGTTGACATATGATATGTCATTCTATTCAGAGTGTCATTTTCTATCGAATAAAGTAAAAAATTAGTTGTTAATCATTTCCGGTGCAACAAGAAGTGACAGAAAGCAATTATTGAATACATCAATCAATCCAAATTTATGTCATATACCAACATACCAAATATCGTTTTTTACCTGGAAAAATATAAAAGTTATAGCAGTAAGCCACTTTTGAGACGCACCCAGTAGGGTGACGATTGATCTAATGAAATATATCTAACCTATTAATTAAAAATTAGGCTTTGAATTTGATTCTAAAATCAGTTCCAAAACTGTTCCAACCCGCATTTACTTTTGATATAGGTAACAGGGTCCGAATTCTGGAACTTCGAATTTTTTCTCTGTTTACTGACAGTTCGACAAGCAAAACCTTAAGGTAGTTGTTTTCAAATTGCTTAGCGAAATCAGTAAAGACGCTAAGCGCGTTTGATGAGAATACCCAAATTGGTAGTTAAGTGAGCGCCCAGAGGAAATTAACGTCATATACGCTGAGCGTCTAAAAGCGCTTAGCGTATTCTAAGTTGCAAAATTTGGTTCCAGAACTATCTAACTCAACACATGCGTAGAAATCCGACGCTGGCGATCCCAATTAGCATTCTAGAACGGTACGAATTTCTGTGTTGGAACAAACCTATATAAATTACTACTAAATATGGATTCTCGATGTTTTATTAGAAATTTTGTGATATACGACAATTTTTAGCGTACTGTATCATCCACTGGATATGACAAAATCCAGATCCAATCGATGACCCGTTATCTTTCGTCGACAATTTTCATTTCCATTGCACTCGAAAACGAAAATACCCCTCTATCGTTGATCTCTCCTATCTCTCACTCTTTCCATTCCCCTCTTTCTTTCTGTCTGTCTCGCTCGCCTCCCCCCTTGTATGCTAAGTTGACGTAAACCCAATTCCATTTGATGCAAGAGCAGTTCCCGAATCTATTCGATATATATCAGTTTTGCGGATCTGGCGTTTGAGTTGTCAGCGACAGTGCTGTGCCGCTTTTTTCCCGATCTCTTCTGTTCGATGAAGTTGACATGTGCGCGCCTGCAACAATACCGCACGTTACGCACATACATTTACATTAATTTCATTACGATAATTGGCTTCGTCGGTATAAACACGATTGTTCATTCTTTTGTGAGGCGAAATAAAAATCAGTCTGATAGGATCTTAATCTCGAATAGGGGGAGATAAGTTTTTTCATTGACCGTGCCGTATACCATTACTTATACATGAAATTTCAATAAATGTATTATTGTTCTGCAATACTTTTTATTTCATACTGTATTTTTTTAAATCATATCTTTACACATGCTTGATTTAAGTCTGGTAATTTTTTTACGGAACTGAAATTCTAAAATATTAATATATGGGGTGAATATTGGCGGCTATCTATTAATAAAATAAATAAAACTAAATATATGTATGGTTGTGAGTAAAGTAGATATCGACGAGACTTCGTTATTGTTGAATGAAGAAACGTTGGAGAGAGTGGCGAAGTTTAAATACCTAGGCTATTGGATTAACCAACAAATCGATCCTTTATACGAAATCAGATGTCGCGTAGAACAAGCAAGAAATGCATTTCAGAAGTTTACAAAGTGTTATGTGTGGTCGATTCTTTTGTATGGATGTGAGACGTGGATACTTAATAAAGAAACAATAAATAAAATCGAAGCATTTAAAATGTGGAAGTACAGAAGAATGTTTAAAATATCTTGGACTATCAGAACCAGAAATGAAGAAGTTCTTCGAAGAATGGAGCACAACAGACTACTTCTGAATATGCTGAGAGCGATACAGAGATATTGTTATAACATGGCAGTCGTCAACGTTCACTAGGAACATGACGCTTGAAGAAGAAGGGGAGATTATTTGTATTCACTCAGAGAATAAAAGTCGAATAAGTATTTTAAAACCATATCTATTCTAAATACTTGCGATAAACGATACCATAATTTTATTTACAGCGGCTACCGTATTAAGCATTCTGTTTCCATTGGTTATACCATGCGATCGAAAACAAAACGGCATCAAAGACGGTTGGGGAATGACAATCGATGATAATTTTGCAAGATCAAGGACTAGACGACATTTACTTGGCATTCAAGGCCTAGGTGACTCTTTTTTTACTTTTTAATAGCACTTCCTGTCAGTTCACCTTAAGAAGGTTGAAATCTCGGTTGAAATATATTTTTATATTGAGTAAAAACTATTTTTAAATGGTATAGTTTAAAATTCGTGAAAAAATCGAAATATATTTGTGTCTGGAAACGTTCTATCATTTTTAATCTTTCTATAATTTTATTAGTGTTAATTTTTCAACAAGTTTTATGTCAATTTTTAGTAAACAATGTCTATCTGACCTCGTCAAAATAGGATACATTAAAATACGCAACCAACCGTCCAATCAGATGAAAGAGGTACGTACCCTATCGTTGGGTATTGTGCAATCACGTGATGCTCATGTCGTATGACGGTTAAATCTTTGGTTAGAATTTTTGTTGTTGTTTTTACCGAAGAGATTTTACCTGTTTTTACTTTATTTTTCTATTTACATCAGATTTATATTTTGTAATTGCCTATCAGACAATACGTATTTAGAAAAATAATAAGAATTAGGATCGTGTTTTTTTTAAATCCTGGATATTAATTGGAACCCTTGGTAACATTACTGCATTTGATATAAAAAGTGCATTTTTGATTATTTACTTGGGTTAGGATATTAAAATATCGGTTGGATTGTACGACATAAATAGATGTAGGTATGATTATTTATATATATGTATGTATTTATAAAGCTTACTATCTGTTTTGCATTTTCAGTTTTTGATCAGACATTTCATTTTATTTGTGAAATGCCCACAAAAAAGCTTCCCATGATTCAACATCAGTGTGTTTGCTGCATAATGGATCATTCCTGCTGAATTTTTAGATCATTTGAAGACTACATGGAAAAAACCAGATAATATGTTACATTTTCATAGAAATTGATAGCGAGACAATTTTATAGGCAAGTGTTAGCATTATTCGAGGCACCATCAAAGAAAGCAATAATAATATGCTTAGTCCCAGAGATATTACAGCTTAGTTATTTTGCCCTACAGGAGAAAAACCAGAGTAGTTCACTCGTAATTGCATTTTCTCGGCTCCAGTTAAAATGAACAAAGCTGGTTTTTCCTGTGGTCTTCATTTGAAATAACGTAAATAAATGTTTATACATATGTATGTGATGATTAAATTGGTGTTAAGGAAATAAAAATGTCTTTCGATATTAATATATATTTTTCGATATTAATATATACCTAGGTATAGGTATATGTATATTTATTTTGAAATAAATTACACTTTTAACAGTTTAATGGAGTTTTTAAAGCCAGTTATAATATTTATATTTTAAAAACTTGAAATCATAATGTGGATGTAATCACGCATTAAACCACAGACTAACTTATATAAGTCAAAAAGTAGATTTTAGTGTTAACTTTATATAACTTGTAAGTAAAATAATATATAAAACAAATATGAAAAAACCAACAATTCTAATGTATATATTAAAATACAGTACAATAATAGGTATCTGATATCCTCACTTAACGTAGAATAATATTCTACCCAACTCAATACTATGTCCAACATGAGTTTCAAATATATCGGGCCCTAATCGTTCCTGAAAATAGTATTTTTTTACATTGTTATACCATATTCTAAACTATTTAATATTTCAGTCACTTAAAAAGTTAATTTGTATTGAATAATTGCCTACCATTAAAGCAAATTTGGACTAGTATTCTTAATGGGCATATTCTGTGTATGGATATAGGTACTTCCTCCAGATTTTGGGTTCAACCAATTTATTCTTAAAACCTGAAACATCTACATATAAAAAATAGACAGGTTACTAATTATAATAAAATTTACCCTTAGAATTATACTTCTTTAACAAATAATTTCCATTGGTATACTTTTCCATGACAAGTAATCAACTTCCTAACATTTTTTAATTGATGTAATACTTCCTCACGATGCGAAAAGAAAATCTTTTCTTTAGCACACAAAGGACAAACGATATGTTGGCTTACTTTCAGATTAGTTACTTTTCCATAGATATCCTCATGTCAATTCAAAGACGATGAACATGAAAATGATCATCACATGAAACATCACAAACTAAAAACCTAATAAACAAGTTTATATCGAATATAGAAATAAATTTAGTGTTCTTACCTATTGTCGTCCAAATCCACGTTAATAGATAATTAATTTTTGGATTTTTATCTTTTATTTTTAAATATATCTTTCGAACTACTGGTTTTAGTAATTATTAAATTAAACGAACTAAAAAGTCAAAAATAATAAACAATTAATTCTCTTGTCAATTGTCAATTTTCTCCAGGTACCGAACATCATCGATAACGCACGATCTACAACGATTACTCCTTTGATCTGATTGGACGGTTCAATGACGGTTGGTTGCGTATTTTAATGTATTCTCGTCAAAATTATCATCGATTGTCATTCTCAGTCTTTGACGCCGTTTTTTTTTAAATCATTTGGTATAAAGGTGGTACAAAGCATATTCTTTTCCATACCGTCTTGGTGATTTTTTGGTATCAAATGCCTTGCAGTCTCGTTAGATTCTATCCATAACTTTTGTCGGAATCACATTTTCAGTACTTATCGATATCATGACTCTATTCTCTATTTCAGCAGCTTTTTTAAAAATAACTAAATTCCTTTAGAGTCAATAGGTAAAGGGAAACAAGGGATACATGAAAACACCTCAAATTATCTATTCAAATATCTAAATACGTTTCATTCACATGTATCCCTTAAGCGAACGAATTATTTTATTAGTTTTTTTTTAGTCACCTCAATTGCTATTCATAGCGAAGACCGAGCATCATTTCATCAATCATTTACCCCAATGTGATGGGTAAATTGAAGCACATTAGAACAATCCTTATCTCTACTTCAACAAAAATTGTCATGTTTTTTATGTATATTTTCACCTAGCAAGCTGAAAAGGAACCGCCATCCATAGGAAAACTTATAATTTTGTTTTATACCTTATCTAGATGATTTTAAAATAAAGTTTGCAAAAAATTGACCCTAATAGTACTGACTTTTGACAAGTAAGTGGATATTGATGTAAATAATACTAGAACAGTTGCGTGGATATCCCAAATTTGAATATTACCCCCATTTGAATTTGGTGAAATTCAAATTTTAAATCAGTACCTGACAATGTTTCCTGATTCAAAATCCTGATAATAAGGGCGATATGTCATAGATTTTGGGACTGTTAAAATCTGTAAAAAAAATCCTTCGCAGTATTTAAATATGAAAGTAGTCGATGATGGCAGCTGAAAGGCGAAATGTCGGTTTTAAAATATGATAGAACCATCAACTGATAGAACCCCATCTTGTAGAACAAAACAAGTAGCAATGAAAATGAAGGCAATTTATTTTGTTATTCAAATAGAGGCACAAAAATATAAAAATGAAATTGCCAATATTCGTTTTTTTTTCGATTTTTGTCATATGAATTAAATATGACTGAACTGAATTGTCCTATCTATATTTAAAATATATCCTATATCTTGTGAAACTTAAGATATCGTGGGGTAAACCGTAATAAAATATAAAAATAAAAATATATAATAATCACAATATTATATTATATAATAAAATGTAATAATATAGTGAACTCAATATTACAAAAAATATTCCAATAAGCGATGATTATTACATATTAATAAACTACTAGCAATATATGAACACAGCAATCGTATGACATGTAATTGAACAAAGCATTAATTAATTGTATTCATTGTCATGGTAGATTTGTATCTGGATTGAGCGGTATAATTATGACAAAAGTTTAATTGAGTTTTCGTGTGAGTGTAACGAACGTTCAAGTTAAAATGTATGCCATTGTAATCAATATTTTTTAACTGCGATTGAGTATTAATTAAAAATGCGTTATTTATATAGAAAATATGGCTCGAAGAGCCTCATCTTTTTATGATATTTTGACGACGTTTCGTGTTTTATGAAAGTCCGTTATCAATGGCGAAAAAATCGTTCGATTTAAATGAAATTTGGTATGTTGATAAATTGAACCCAGGTGTACGACACGTGTCACTATGACAGTTTTGACGTAAGAAACGTTCAAAGTTGATGTCGTCCGATCGCGACCAAATTTGGTGGGTAGGCTATGTGAGCGACGGTGCACACGGTTCTACCTTGCAAAGTTGGATACGACGTTTCGTTTATATCTTTATCAGGGTAGGACTAAGGAACTAATATTGAAAAAAAATGTGGGTCGATTTCGGCATAATTGGGGACGGACTACAGGATGAAGCTCTTGACGTTTCGAATCATAATTACAAGTAAAAACTGTTTTTAAATGCATAATACCCATAACTAAGAAAATACTGTTGATTTTTTTTTAATTATATGGGCTGATTGGAACCAAACTCGGCACGTGGATAGAGGTACCCGAATGGAGTCCGCAGATGGACAGACAGTCTTTGTCGAAACCGTGGTCAAAATGTTGTACACCAAATTAATGTCGTAATAGTAGTGCCAAATAATGATAAGATATTGCCAAATAATGTCAAGTACTGCCAATTAATTTCATTAATAATACTAATGCCAAAAATAACTAACTAGTTCCTATGACAATGCCAAACATTGCCAAACCATACCGTGTAATTTCTGATGTAACAGTTGTCGCCATTTCGTTAGTTTTCTAGGTAATTAGTTGAAATGGGTATATGTGTCGTAGTCCCATAGTGTATTCCGTCTTTTCATGAAGATCCTAGTCGCTTAATAAAAAAAACTAACCTAATAACATAAGTAAACTCCTAACCTATTCGACGCTTCATGAAGTGACCTAGGATCATCATGAAAAGACAGAATACACTATGAGACTGAAAGAATTAAATTTAAAAAATATGCAATCTATTACCTTATTAACATACGCAAATTACAAATACATTATATAATATTTAGATATAAAAAACAACGAAATGGAGAAATCTGCGTGGTCAGCTTGTATATTAAAATTGGAAATTAAAACACCCATCTCTTTATTTTTATGTCGATCTAATAACAAATCAATGAGATCGTCTTTCTACTAAAACTAAATTACCATATTTCTTAAACATAGAGAGTTCACACTACACTATGGATATATATGTTGGTTGGCAAAATCTCGCGAAAAAGATCTCCACGTACAGCTTAACAAGTATAGCTAGAGACGTGAGAAATATAAAATAACACTCGACCGGTGCTAACCCCAAGTCTCTTCCCGAGTCTCTTCCTATATTTGTACAACTGTACAACAAATTATACTGTGCATAAAAAAAATGGTTGGCTACTACTGCGGTACTTTACGTGTCGAGTAATCTATCCATTACACGAAGAAGCCCGAACAAAGTGTCAAATATCAAAACAACTAAACACAAAAAAATCAAATTGAACTGATACATCTATCTCAAATAATAATGTATCCTTCGGTCCTTCGGAGATAAAATATCTCCCTCCAAAATATTCCATTCGCTTAATCCATCATATAATTTAGAAACAATATTTCCAAAGTATTTCGAATAAATTCTTGCAATATATAAAAAAGAGTAGAATTCCAGTGTCAATATTTCACGAGTTTATCTAAATTCTCACGTGTCACTTCACTAATTCTATGGGAACCCATGCATTATTGTGACTCAATAAACTGACCCCTGTCCACTTGTCCATTGAAATCGGCAACATCTTAAGTTCATAAACGAAAAAAATGAAAATCCATGTCCATATTGTTATGCCATTCAATATTTTGGATTGTTCGCGTATTGTACTACCAAGACCCAATTAATCACCCATTCTTTCCTCTCCTTTGACAAGTCGCTAGTCCGCCAAAAACGGCAACTTTCCTGCATTCTCCCTCTGTATCGGCATCGACCGAACTGACCTCCTTTCATCCGCGCTCCCTTTGACAAAGCGAATGCAATTTTTGTTCGAAAAGTGGCTTTATAGAAATACCCTCCGCCCGATAACATAAATCTCTTTAAAGTGTCGACGTGAACGTTTTGTCGTAATACGTTGTGAAAATAGCCTATTATCGTTTGAAGTAGCTTTATCGATGGATTCAATAGAGACGCGACCCATGCCTACCTTGGAGCGGGCATCTACCTGCGCTCCCTTCCGGCGATGGGTAAACAAAGGTAACATGTTGTCACTAATAGAGTTTGTTTAGCGTTGACATGCGACATGCTAGCCAAACACTAGGCTGCGCCTCGGGGTGTATACCTAGCCGGAGAGATCTTACTTAGCGAATATATAAATTATAAGGGACTGTTTACCTTGGATTTTGATGAAGCGCTTCTCGAGTTGAAATGTCTCTGCCATTGAGTCAGTCGGCTTGTTTGTGCGAATATATGTTGAAGCAGATGTTGTTCGAGGTAATTGGAATTGAATGAGGTAGTATTTTTTCTGTCCGCAGAGACACGATTTTGCCCAGGGAAATGTTTTATTTTGACAGCATTACTTTTCTGTGTTTATACAAAATAAAATATAAATATATTGGTTTCTTTATTATTTTATTAATTAGATTTTTTCGCTTTTATTTTTTTTACAAAATAAAAAATATATTTTAATAAAACTGCCAATATTTACCTGAAGGGTGTTGAATTTTATATAAAACTTCCTATCTTTAGACGACTATACAAGATCTAAAAAATATTTTTAGTTTATTTTCGTGTGCCGATTACTAGGTCTAATAAAAATGGTAGTGTAATAATCGAAACATATGACGATCACCGGTGCATGGAAGTAAAAATTACAATTCGGTATAGATTAATTGGTTTTGTTAGTGAGACGAACCGCCTATTTAAAAATAGGCATATTTCTTTAAATTCAAAACCTTCATTTTTAAGACACTCTGTATACATAAATAAAATTATTGATTTTTAAAATATTATTCACAAACTGGAAATCAGACGACGAATAACAGAAATAATAATTGTTAAGTAAGTAGGAGTATAGGGCCCTAATCGTTCCTGAGAGCAATAATTTTTTTTTAAATTGATATACCATATTGTAAACTATTTAATATTTCAGTCACTTAAAAAGTTAATTTGTATTGAATAATTGCCTACCATCAAAGCAAATTTGGGCTATTATCACTGATGGACATATTCTGTGTATGCAAAGATTTTGGGTTCAACCGATTTATTCTCAAAACCTGAAACATCTACATATGAAAAGTCCACTGATAAAAAAGATAGTCATCGTTTTTGAAAAAAAAAATTTAGTGGCAA